AGTATGGATGTATCCTTTTTTTTTTTTTTTTTTTTTTTTAACTTCGTATACAGGAAACCTACGTAACGAGGTGATAAGAGCATCCCCCGTAAGTAAGCCCCAGCATCAAAGGCTTCATCTATTGGTGGGGAGCTGCACCTGCCGGAAATCAGGTCCAGCGTACCTGTTCAATGTTTTTTTTTTTTGTTTTTTTTTTTTTTATCAGCTGGAAATCGGGTCCAGCGTCCCTATACAAAGATGTGCTGATATCTCCTACTACCTATGTATGTTTGTTAACCAATATATGTCAGATGATGGGAGAACCCTATCCATCTCATCTATAGTTTCTCAAAAACGAACTTAGGCATCAAACCCAATCCTATCTATCAGACCAGGAGACGAAACCCTAGCTTTGATGTGATGTGTGTGAGCTGGAGATCAGAACAATCAGGTCCAGCTTCTATCAAGGAAAGTGGGGAAGGGAGGGGAGGGAGGGAATAAGGAAAGTTTTGAAAGGGACTACCACCTCTATTTTCATAACTGGACTAGAATTGAATCCTCCATCCCATTGCGGCCTCTCTCTGATTTCCCCGATCCTTTTCCGCCACCAGCAAGCTCAATGGTCGAGACTAATGGGTATGCAGGTGCTTAAAGAAAGGGTCAACTGTGTAGGATGAGAATATTGTTGCTTTTTCCCATATCCTGCTCAATGCAATGCTCTGGTTTCCAGAGTAATCAATCAATTGGGAGCGAAGAATTAGTGTGTTACAGTAGGTATCTGGTGTCGGTTTCAGGGTGAAGAGATTCTTTCCCCATTAGTGCTCAGTTAATCCCCTGGATAATGCTGGCAGGAATCCCCCACCACTGTTTTTCCGATATCCTTCATATTCAGTCTGTATATGGGACGCTGGACACGTTTTCCAGCAGGTGATGCTCCCCACCAATAGATGGAGCCGCTCCCCAGCTGCTAGTGGTGTCTGCTCTTATCAGCAACACTAACACTGATGGGGGCGTGGGTGTGACGCCCAACCTCACGCCCAGCGCGACTTCCTGATCGGAGTGGGATGGGGGCCCGGAAGTGCGAAAGAGGGGTGTGCCAAGGATTTTAGGAAATTGTAGTGGAGTCCCAGGTCAGAACTGAGATCTCTTGTGGCCAGTTCAAGAGTAATTGAGCAAGATGGTAATCCTGAGTTGCATCGGTAGCTTGGGCTTCGGGACACAAGGCTACCGTTGGTGTGAGTATCGGCGTCGTGGTCGGTCTCGGATCTGGTGGACCTTCGGGACGCTATGAGTGTCGCGTTGGTTGGTTAGCCATCGGCGTCGCTCGTAGCAGACTTCGGAATCTGGCGAGGCTGGTCTCAGTCGGAGACTGTGCGATCGCTGGTCCGCCTCAGTTTGGGTCCGGCGGACGAATCCCGCTGTGCGGTAAATACGATCTTGCTGGCACTTCGAGCACAGGGTCCGCGGCCAGTAGGGGCCGATCGCGCACCAGAGGACCGCTTTTAGACAGTGAAAGGGGATTGCAAGGCGGTGGGGAGGATAATTGGTCTCAATGATGGCGATTCCTGGCTCGGCGATGACGTGTCGTGCGTGTGAGTGGGGAAATCGGGGTGGGAAGGGAATCGCGCTTAAGGCCCGTTCAATATCCCATTCGCATACACGCTCCGTTCCCTCGTAGAAAGGGAACTCGGGGAGGTGGGACCGGGGTCACGCGACTTGATAGGCACGCTCCCGTTCCCAACGTTCCCGGAATCGTTGATGCCTCAGACTCTCACGATCCGTGATGTAGAAGGGAATCTCAACGTCCATACCGGTAAAAAACGGTTGACTTCATCATAGGCCCTCGGGGGCGAGTCCCGTGGACGCGCGTGGAAGTCGCGTCTTTGCGATCATACTTACACGCGGGTGCGTGAGATCACGCTTCCCGTTCATGGGTCGTTTCAGGTGCCCCCGTGATTCCCCAAAGGTTCGTCATGCAACTACCAAACCAAAAAGAAAAACAACTTTCGGGCATAACATAAGACAATCCCTCAGCAAGCCAGCCATTCATGCATCGATAAAGCTGCGAAGGGTTCATCATCTATCCGATCCACTCAGAGCAACCAAAAAGGCTAACTAGTTTCCCAGCCTCACAAATTCCTTCCCCCTTCCAGAGTACTGCGCAACTCTTCGGTAATCAGGTTTCTTGTGAGATCGTGGAACATTCATTCATCGGATCCTCACTCATTCATGCAAAGACGACACACATCCCCATTGGTCAGACAAGCTCTCAAAGATTGACACACACATCCAATAAACTGAGACATTCAACTCACACCCCTCAACAAGGAAGGAGAAGGGAGAATAAAGTCGCACACCAAGCGGCACCATCGTACAAAATTGGAGATAGGAAAGATGACTTTCGCCTGAGACCAAAATTTTATACAAAGAAAAGAAAAGAAAGGTCACGATCCCTCACTCGTCTGTTCCTCACTCTCTCTCTCTCTCTCTCTCTCTCTCTCTCTCTCTCTCTCTCTCTCTCTCTCTCTCT